AATGTGAGAGGAACTACCTAAGTAACACTTCCTGATCACCTCACACTGGCTGAAAATGTGAGAGGAACTACCTAATTAACACTTCCTGATCATCTAACACTGGCTGAAAATGTGTGAGGAACCACCTAAGTAACACTTCCTGATCATCTAACACTGGCTGAAAATGTGTGAGGAACCACCTAAGTAACACTTCCTGATCATCTCACACTGGCTGAAAATGTGAGAGGAACCACCTAAATAACACTTCCTGATCATCTAACACTGGCTGAAAATCTGAGACTTACTGTCAGATGGAAAAGCACATGGAGCAGATACAATTCTAGCAGATGTCTGAGAAGCTTGACGCTCGAACATGGCTCGGAAATTCACTGAACCATTGCAGTCTATGTGGACTTAGCGAACTTTATCCTGGATGTACAAGAATGATTCCATCGTCCACTTATATAAGACAATCCTGTGACAACCATAATGGCATCTCCCTGCCTTTCTGTGAATAGCCGGCACGATAATTCTGCTGAATAGTGGCGTGCAACACATTGATAAACAATTCATGCTACATGAGTCGGTGTAGCTTCAGGAAAGGATGAGGGATCAAATGACTGGTGCTTGTGGCTCCTCAACGTCAGCAGGTAGGTAAGGAAAATAATTCCAACAAATACACGACATGCGTCGACCTGACAAAAGCCTTTGAAGCAATTGGCACAGTCAGCCGTGAAAGCCTTTGGAACCAAAACTTAGCTGCTTAGAAAAATTCATCATGATGGTTTGGCAATTCCAAGATGGCATGGTCGCTCGTGTAGTAGACAACGAGACATATGAACCATTCTTACATTCTTAGTCACCAATGTAGTCACGCGTGTGTGTTGGTCTCGGTGGGGTTTTTTTTCGTAAGTACTGATGTCTTCCGTGACTATGACAACTTCAAGCAGACCAGCAGGATGAACCATTTGCTGCTTGAGGAATGTGATGAAGATAAAGTGGCAGGAAGGAAAGGGACCCAGAGGTCGGACAATGGAAGACAGTCCAAGCATCCAAACTCTGCTGATGAAATCACAGATGAGATGGACAGGCCACATTCACGACTACACGAAGAACGACTACCAAAGATCCTCTGCGTCAATCTGAAGACGATCTCGTGATGCTCAGAAAAAAAAACACATAAGAGATTATTGCAGATATATTCTTTCAGTTTAAAATATGTTATTCATTTTTCTAGAAAAAAAAACTACAATCACTAGCCATTGTATTATTTTTGGGAAACAGCATCAACAACCGCCCTAATTATTCGTCATTCTTCGGAAATACCACGAACAACGGGACTTGTTCATAATTATTTTTGGAAATACCACGAACAACGAGACTTGTTACTAATTATTTTTGGAAAAGCCACGAACAATGGAACTTGTTGCTAATTATTTTTGGAAACGCCACGAACAACGGGACATGTTACTAATTATTTTTGGAAATACCAGGAACAACGGGACTTGTTACTAATTATTTTTGGAGATACCAGAAACAACGGGACTTGTTACTAACTATTTTTGGAAATACCAGGAACAACGGGACTTGTTACTAATTATTTTTGGAACTACCAGGAACAATGGGACTTGTTACTAATTATTTTTGGAAATACCAGGAACAACGGGACTTCTTACTAATTAATTTCGGAAATACCACGAACAACGGGACTTGTTACTAATTATTTTTGGAAAAGCCACAAATACCGGGATTTCCTACAAATTATTTTCGGAAACGCCACGAACAACGAGACTTGTTACTAATTATTTTTGGAAATACCACGAACAACGGGATATTTTACTAATTATTTTTGGAAACGCCGCGAACAAAGGGACTTGTTACTAATTATTTTTGGAAATACCACGAACAATGGGACTTGTTACTAATTATCTTTTGAAATACAACGAGCAACGGGACTTGCTACTAATTATTTTTGGAAATGCCACGAACAACGGGATATGTTACTAATTATTTTTGGAAACGCCACGAACAACGGAACTTGTTACTAATTATTTTTGGAAATGCAACGAACAACGGGACTTGTTACTAATATTTTTTGGAAATACCACGAAAAACGGGACTTGTTGCTAATTATTTTTGGAAATACCACGAAAAACGGGACATGTTACTAATCGTGCCACATGTCTGCGACATGATGCTCCAATGCTAGATATTACTATAGGGACTATTCTATGCGGCCCTGACCTGAAATCACTGAATCTAAACCATGCCATCATGAAATCTCAAACCTACACCGCAGTCCGTTACATTCGCTCTTAATAATAGACTAATTATTCGAGCTGAGGACTATGTCCCTAGCTACGACTTACCATAATCAACTAAGCAATCATAACAATCTAAGAGCTATGTACTCCAAATTGATTATATTAGAAAACAAGACTGCTTTATTTTCTCCAAAAAATCATGCTTACAATGCAGATAAAGAAAATTTGTCAATTATTTCATTATTTTGTCTGACTTTTAACATACCTTTACCATTTTATTGATTATATATAACTTTAACAATAAAAAAAATGAAAAGGACACCCACCTGTATTAGTTTTGAACATATTTGCTTTTCTCAGTCAAGTAATCTTGCAATAAAATATTTTTCCTCAAGTAATACACTGAACAAGGTCTTCTCTTAGCATTTTAAATTTAAACAAAACCCAGCTAATACGATTATTGTTGTTTTGTATAATCACACTGAAACTAACAACATTATCCTCGTGTATTCATCTCAGCTACCAACATTATCTTCATGTATTCATCCAAAACTAACAACACTATCCGCTTGTATTTATCTCAACTACCAACATTATCCTCGTGTATTCATCTCAACTAACAACATTATCCTCATATATTCATCTAGACTGACAACATTATCCTCGTGTATTCATTTCAACTAACAACATTATCCTGGTGTATTCATCTCAGCTACCAACATTATCTTCGTGTATTCTTCTCAACTAACAACATTATCCTTATCTATTCATCCAAAACTAACAACACTATCCGCATGTAGTCATCTCAACTGACAACATCATCCTCGTGTATTCATCTCAACTAACAACATTATCCTCATATATTAATCTAGACTGACAACATTATCCTCGTGTATTCATCTCAGCTAACAACATTATCCTCATGTATTCATCCAAAACTAACAACGCTATCCGCATATATTCATCTAAACTAACAACATTATTCTCATGTATTCATCTAAACTAACAACATTATCCTCATGTATTCATCTAGACTGACAAATTTATCCTCATGTATTCATCCAAAACTAACAACACTATCCGCATGTATTCATCTAAACTAACAATATTATTCTCATGTATTCATCTAAACCAACAACATTATCCTCATGTATTCATCTAGACTGACAACATTATCCTCATGTATTCATCTAAACTAACAACATTATCCTCGTGTATTCATCTAGACTGACAACATTATCCTCATATATTCATCTAAACTAACAATATTATCCTCATGTATTCACTAAATAGGTGAATTGTTTCACCGAGTATATGGATACCATTCATAATATTTAATCCAAAGTGACTTACGACACTGAATCGTACCCATAGATTTTGATTTGAATGTCTGCCTACAGCAGTGAATGCAACCAAAATGGCTAACTTCAGTGTCAACTTACAGCAGTGAATGTTATCAATAACATGTGATTTGACATTCAGCCTAAGAAAGGAATTATTATGTCCAGAATATTTTAATCATTCTGCAATAGTGTACTATACCGACAATGTTTGATCTGAACGTCTGCTACATTATAAAATGCTGTTGAGAATATTCGATTCCAAGGACAGCTGTATATAATGCCCATGATGTTTGATTTGAACGTCAACGAACACCAGTAAATATTAACCAAAATGTTTAATTTTAACGTCGACCTGCAACAGAGTTGTCATCGAGCTAACCCGACCGTCATCCTACAACAGTAGCTACTATCCGTAATGGTTTATATACTCTCCAACTACAACAGTAGTAGCATATCCGTAAAGTTTGCTCCGGCTGTCAAACTACGACACTGAATCCCATCCATAACTGTTGATTCCAACTTCATAATGTTTAATCTAACTTTACATACAACAGTGAATGTTCTCCATGACGCTTGATTTTAAAGTCAGAATATACCACTGAATGCTGCCCATGATAACTGATTTTAACCATAGCCTAAACCAACGAATGCTGTACATAATGATTGAGTAATGCGTCATTTTATAAACATCAATTCAAATACAATAGTATATTTTATCTCCGATCATTTTCAGATAATTAGGACAGACGCTTTTTCTAATTTAAGTATTTTACAAAGTCTTTGCGAATTTATATTGACTTTGAAGTAAAATCAGTATGAATATAAATGATGAATATGAGTGAAACTCAACCTGAATGCCTGTACAAATGTGTGCAAAGTATGATACGACTGTACATTGAACGCATGTACAAACGTATACAAAGTATGTAATCTCTGTACATTGAACGCTGATACAAAAAATATACAAAGTATGAAATGACTAGATTGAACGTCTGTACAAACGTGTGCAAAGTATGCAATAACTGTACATTGAACGCCTGTAAAAACGTATACCAAGTATGAATGACTGTTCATTGAACGTTTGTACAAACATGTACATTGTACTGTACATTGAACGCATTAATAAAATTGTGAAAAGTATGTAAACACTGAACACCTGTACAATTTGTTAAAAAGTATGTGTGATTTAGAATGTTAACGTAGCTTTAATAATTTTTCAGTCATATAGCTATGATGTCTGCAGTGTGAAAGTTAAACGAGGTATCTTGCAATAGAGCATCATGCCGCAGACACGTAGCATGATGTCCCACCCTATCACATTATCCTGACACCATGCCGACCAGACCTAACACTAACCTCTTAATGCTGAACGCTAGTGAAGCAGCTGTTTAGTACCATTTTTATTAATCCTTGGTGTGACTCGGCCGGAATTCGAACCACGACCTCCAGCATCCGAGGCAGACGCTCTAACCACTAGGCAACCAGAGTGGCTTAAAAAGTATTTAAATAGTGTGTTTTGAATCCCTGTAAAACAAACTGTACTATTATATGAATATTGTATGTTGAACACCTGTACAAAATTGTACGAAGTATGCAAATACTGTTCTGTGAACGCCTTAAATATTTTCAAAAGGATGCAAATGCTGAACAGTTATCACGTACACAAAATTGTACAAAGTATTGTAAAAACGAACACCTGTATAAAATACACAAATATGTAACTACTGTACATTGCAAGACTGTACAAAATTGAACAAAAGTATGTAAATACTGTAAATTGAACACCTGTTCAAACATATGCATATACCTTGAACGCTTGTATACAAGTTGCTAAATGTATATAAATAATGTACAGTGAATGCCAGTATTAAAGTGTACAACATATGAAAATACTGTAAAGTGCATGCCGTGTACAAAAGTGTACAAAGTATTCAAGTACGTACAATATAAAAATGAATCTCAGATCAAAATCTATGACTTGCTTAGGATGCATTGGTATACAGGCATCAAATATCGATAGTCTTTGGAAGACGTTCTGAAATAAAGGTACTGGAATAAAGGATGACTATCCCAATATTATTCAATATATTCCAATTTCCATGACTATCTCAATATTATTCAATATATTCCAATTTCTTTGACAATCTCGATATACTTCAATGGATTCAAATTTCCACGACTATCTCAATATTATTCAATATATTCCAATTTCTTTGACAATCTCGATATACTTCAATGTATTCAAATCTCCACGACAATCTCAATATTATTCAATATATTCCAATTTCTTTGACAATCTTAATATTATTCCATGTATTAAAATTTCCACGAATTTCTCGATATTATTCAAACTTCCATGATTATCTCAATATCATTCGGTCTATTCAAACTTCGATGACCATCTCATATTATTAAATTTATTCAAACTTCCGTGATTCGGTATATTTCAATTTTCTCGTTTAAGGTAAAAGGATCAAATTAAAGGTTCAACATATATCCGGACTCTTAAGGCAATCAATTTAATTTGATGTGATGAACATTTATATTCCACCCGGTCGAGAATTGTTCTTTTGTTTTGAACAAATAACATTTATTTAGAAGCAACAGTGAACGCCAGTCTAGATTGTTAATCCCAATAGTTTCCAGGATCGGTTTATGAGTGCTCTTCGGGCGGTTTCGGCTGTTGACAAGTGCTTCATTTTCGTCATTAAATTGAAATCCATCAGAATTAGGCCTCTTAAGAAAGCACTTCTAATGGATCCTTTGAATGGCATATGACTCTTTAGAAGCATTGATTTCTGAGATATCGCATAGTCCTTCAGAACAATCTGATAATATAATACACGACGAGCTGTCATGGTTGATTTGTTTTTGTAATGATAACTGCTTTGGCATTCAAAACTATCTGAATAGATAAAGAACCAGCCTCCATAGTTTTGTTTTCGAATGATAATGCAGTTCTACTTTCCAAAGCATGTGAGTCTACCAGACAAACAAACATGTCTTATTCAGAAACATATCAAAACTTGTGGTTTTAAAATCTGTTCTAAAATGAGTAGGTATGAAATAATACATGATTGAGTATGACATAACACGCATGACTATTACAAAGATCTATCCTCTCTGTCATGTAAATCTGAAGGAAATTAATTCCTTTCATTATTATGTCCTCAAGCAGTATGAGTGTGACTGAAAGTCCATCATGATATTAATTATATATTTGCTTGGATGTAATAAATTTTATTACTGATATTGTGACTTATATGAGTTTGACGGAAAGTCCATCATGATATTAATTATATATTTGCTTGGATGTAATAAATTATATTACTGATAATGTGACTTATATGAGTGTGACTGAAAGTCCATCATGATATTAATTATATATTTGCTTGGATGTAATAAATTATATTACTGATATTGTGACTTATATGAGTTTGACGGAAAGTCCATCATGATATTAATTATAAATTTGCTTGGATGTAATGAATTATATTACTGATATTGTGACTTATATGAGTTTGACGGAAAGTCCATCATGATATTAATTATATATTTGCTTGGATGTAATAAATTATATTACTGATATTGTGACTTATATGAGTGTGACGGAAAGTCCATCATGATATTAATTATATATTTGCTTGGATGTAATAAATTATATTACTGATATTGTGACTTATATGAGTTTGACTGAAAGTCCATCATGATATTAATTATATATTTGCTTGGATGTAATAAATTATATTACTGATATTGTGACTTATATGAGTGTGACGGAAAGTCCATCATGATATTAATTATATATTTGCTTGGATGTAATAAATTATATTACTGATATTGTGACTTCTATGAGTTTGACTGAAAGTCCATCATGATATTAATTATATATTTGCTTGGATGTAATAAATTATATTACTGATATTGTGACTTACATGAGTGTGACTGAAAGTCCATCATGATATTAATTATATATTTGCTTGGATGTAATAAATTATATTACTGATATTGTGACTTATATGAGTTTGACTGAATGTCCATCATGATATTAATTATAAATTGCTTGGATGTAATTAATTATATTACTGATATTGTGACATATATGAGTGTGACTGAAAGTCCATCATGATATTAATTAAAAATTTGCTTGGATGTAATAAATTATATTACTGATATTGTGACTTATATGAGTTTGACGGAAAGTCCATCATGATATTAATTATAAATTTGCTTGGATGTAATAAATTATATTACTGATATTGTGACTTATATGAGTTTGACGGAAAGTCCATCATGATATTAATTATAAATTTGCTTGGATGTAATACATTATATTACTGATATTGTGACTTATATAAGTTTGACGGAAAGTCCATCATGATATTAATTATATATTTGCTTGGATGTAAAAAAATTATATTACTGATATTGTGACTTAAATGAGTGTGACTGAAAGTCCATCATGATGTTAAGGATATATTTACAATGTATGTAACGGGAAGTCCTTCATCTATTCAGGATATGTTTACACATGAGTGTGACTGGAAGTCATTCATGATATTAAAGATATGTTCACACATGAGTGTGACTGAATGCCCTTCGTGAAATTAAGGTAATATTTACGCATCAATGTAATGGGAAGTCCTTCATGGTATTAAGGATATAAGTACACATGATTTTGACTGACAGTCCTTGGTGATATTAAGTATATAATTACACATGATTGTGACTGGCAGTCCTTGGTGATACTATGGATATAATCACACATGAGTGTGATTGGCAGTCCTTGGTGATACTATGGATATAATTACACATGAGTGTGACTGGCAGTCCTTGGTGATATTAGGTATATAATTACACATGATTGTGACTGGCAGTCCTTGGTGATATTAGGTATATAATTACACATGATTGTGACTGGCAGTCCTTGGTGATATTAAGTATATAATTACGCATGATTGTGACTGGCAGTCCTTGGTGATACTATGGATATAATTACACATGAGTGTGACTGGCAGTCCTTGCTGGTACTATGGATATAATTACACATGAGTGTGACTGGCAGTCCTTAGTGATACCATGGATATAATTACACATAAGTGTGACTGAAAGGCCTTCGTGAAATTAAGTATATATTTACGCATCAATGTAACAGGAAGTCCTTCGTGATATTAAGGATATAATTACACATGAGAGTGACTGGCAGTCCTTGGTAATATAATTACACATATTAGTGTCTGGCAGTCTTTGGTGATATAATTACACATGAGTGTGACTGGCAGTCCTTCATGATATGACATAGGAACCTGAGTGGACGTCTTTCCTGAAAAACAATAAAAACTGCCATATTTTAATGAATTGACATGACTGCCATATTTTCATGAAATAACAACTAAATTCATGACATAAACACACACATACATACATTATAGCATGTACTGTAAATGATATAACAGTATGCACAGTAGATGGCATGACAGTATGTACAGAGCAAAATTTGGTTGCTTAGAGAAATTCAAAATTTTGGTTAGACAATTCGATGACAGCATATTCTCTCGTGTTGTGGATGACGGCGAGACATCCGAATCATTGCCAGTCACCAGTGGAGTTAAGCAATTCTCTGTGTTGGCCACAATTCTCATGAGCTCCTATTTATATGACTATTTTTTGAATGCAAAATCTTTGTCTTGTGTGCTGCATAGTATAGACGATTTATCTTTAGCTTGAGATAATTCGGTTTCCCAAGCAGTATCAAGAATACAGAGGTGATGCACCAACCTGTACTAAGGAAGCCTTGCATACCATCACTGAAACTTGCCAGACCTTCGTGGAAAATAGATACGTTCACCTCTCTCTGGAGCAATCTGTCACGTTGATGATCAGACCAATACCAGAACTGCTAAAGCAAATGCGACCCTTGGCGGACTACGCGAAGATATTCTAAATTTGGGATAATTCTCGTTTTCCTTGCAATACCCATAACGTCGCTGAACCTAAATATTAACAAAGGCAGAGCAACCGTATATGATGCTGAGAGACACCTCTCTCTCTCTCTCTCTCTCTCTCTCTCTCTCTCTCTCTCTCTCTCTCTCTCTCTCTCTCTCTCTCTCTCTCTCTCTCTCTCTCTCTCTCTCTCTCTCTCTCTCTCTCTCTCTCTAAAGAATCAATCGCCGCAAACAAATATTCAGGGTATACCGCTGAGGAAGTAAACGAGGTCACTAATGCATTAGAACAAAAAAAGCCTTTTGTCATTTAATTTACTTAAATTCGAAGAATATTATATATATATATATATATATATATATATATATATATATATATATATATATATATATATATATATATATATATATATATATATATATATATGTATATATGTGTATATTTATATGTATATGTATATGCATATACATAATATATATATATATATATATATATATATATATATATATATATATATATATATATATATATATATATATATATATATA